ATAAAATGTTTGACAGGAGTACAGGAATCAAAGCTGTCAGAATAATCGCCCTCCTTATCCACCGACAAAAGGGGGTTTAACTCTATGAGTCCCAGAGCAGTGAGCCGGTTACTGTCAGGATACTGGCACACTGAGCTCTGACAGAGTCTAGAGAGGGTATTACTGCGTTATTCACAGATTATATGCCTGGCCGCAATGAAACTTTGCCTGTTCTGCCTCTAGCTCTTTCATACAGAGATATCACACACCATGATGATGTAACTGGACCTCAATGATTGCACTGGATTATTAAGGAGACGAACAGAACAGACAGCAGTCAACATTTTGGTAAGGAACCACTATAATAAATGCCTACTGTTACATTTTCAGATGATATTCATTATTTTCTTGGACACAAGAAAGCAGATTTATATTTTGTGTTGCAGCTGTTGATATAATGTGAAGTTGAAAAGTTTATATCTTTACGATAAAGAGTAAAATAAAATATTAATATAATTATGTGCTAAATATGATATTAATATAATATTTAATTAATAATTTAATTATTTTTGTTAATATTTGTAGCAGCACAGAAGGAGTTTTAAAAACGTGACTTTAAAAAACATGGATGAAAATGTGCATTCAATTATAAAAAGAAGGATAACATCATTATAAAATAAAATGTAAATATTTCTCAGTAAAATTCCCTGGTGTAACAGCAGCAGCATGCTTGTGTCACACTGAAGTGATTTTGTAGCAGCTTCAGGGCTGAAATGTACAGGCCACGTGCATGACAGCCTCAGGAGAGTTCATAGGATATGCCCTTTCTGACCCCTCAGCATTTCTACAGTCAAGGTGTATTGCAAAAAATCTGTTAAATTGGATGAACTGCACTATTAATCACTGCAATAAACTATTATCTACTATATACTTATGTTTCCTCAGGAGTAAAGAAACATTGATTATTAAAGCAAAAAGCTATTCAGGGCTATGCATTACAGTGATTTTAGCATGGATAAAAAGTTTTCATAGCCTAAAAACGTATAGTTTTAAAATTACTGTAATACACAGCCACACTTGGCTAACTGTTTTAATGAAAGTTTTATTTTGCATTTGCATTGTCTGTCTGACTACTATAAGACAAGCAAGTGGACTTTAATACAGTCATGATGTGATGTCAAAAAATAAATACACTATTTTAAGGACATATTTGCAGTTATGTGTTAAACAGTAAAACAGACATCTGATTGGTTTGTAGAGTGGCGGTGAATAAGCAGGAAGGATGCAGTGTGGTGTGATGCTGTGTGTCCTGCTGCTGATACTGTCCTCTAGTGCTAGAAACCAGAAGAGAAGAAAAAACAGACAGAAGCCCGACAACAGTGTCATGCAGAATGAAGTCAAAAGTAAGAAACACAATTTTTCTGTCTGCCTTTCTGTCTACCTGTTTGTCTGTCTGTCCATCTTTCTTTTCTGTCTGTCTGTCCATTTTTTCTACCTGTCTGTCTTTCTCTTCTGTCTGTCTTTCCATTTTTCTACCTGTCTGTCTGTCTGTCTGTCCGTCCGTCCGTCCGTCTTTCTCTTCTGTCTGTCTCTTCGTCTTTCTCATCTGTCTGTCTGTCTGTCTTGCTACCGTCTGTTTATCTTTCTATTCTGTCTGTCTTTCTACCGTCTGTCTGTCTGTCTGCCTTTCTCTTCTGTCTGTCTGTCTGTCCATTTTCTACCTTTCTATCTGTCTGTCTGTTCGTCCTTCTAACGGTCTACATGTTTGTCTTTCTCTTGTGTTTGTCTGTCTTTCTACCATCTGTCTGTCTGTCTGTCTGTCTTACTACCATCTGTTTATCTTTCTTTTCTGTCTGTCTTTCTACCGTCTGTCTGTCTGTCTGTCTGTCTGCCTTTCTCTTCTGTCTGTCTGTCTGTCTGTCCATTTTCTACCTTTCTATCTATCTGTCTGTTCGTCCTTCTAACGGTCTACATGTCTGTCTTTCTCTTGTGTTTGTCTGTCTTTCTACCATCTGTCTGTCTGTATTTCTTTACTGTCTGTCTGTACATCTTTCTACTTGTCTGTCTGTCCGTCCATCTTTCACTTCTGCCTGTCCATCTTTCTACTGGTCTATCTGTCTGTCTGTCCTTCTGCCTGTCTGTCTGTCCATTTTGCTCTTCTGTCTGTCTGTCTGTCCGTCCGTCTTTCTCTTCTGTCTGTCTGTCTCTGTTTTAATGTCTGTCTGTCTGTCTGTCTGTCCGTCTGTCTCTTGTGTCTGTCCGTCTCTGTCTGAATGTCTTTCTACCTGTCTGTCTGTCTTTGTCTTCTGTCTACCTGTCCATCTTTCTCTTTTGTCTGTCTGTCTTTCTACTTGTCTTTCAATCTGTCTGTCTGTCCATCTTTCTCTTCTGTCTGTCTGTCTGTCTGTCTTTCTACTTGTATTTCTATCTGTCTACCTGTCCATCTTTCTGTTCTGTCTGTCTGTCTTTGTACTTGTCTTTCTATCTGTCTGTCTGTCTGTCTGTCCGTCTTTCTCTTCTGTCTGTCTGTCCATCTTTCTTTTCTGTCTTTCTACCATCTGTCCATCTTTCTTTTCTGCCTCTCTGTCTGTTTTTCTCTTCTGTCTGTCTTTCTCTTCTTTCTGCCTGTCTGCCTGTCTACTCTAATCTGTAATATCTTAATTTATTTTTCCTGCAGCTCTGTTCTGTCCAGTGGAGTTGGCGTTTTTAGTTGACAGTTCAGAGAAAGCCAAAATGCTTCTGTTTGAGAGGCAGAGGGAGTTAGTGTTGCGCTTCAGCACCAGGCTGATGCAGCTACAGGTGTCGGGCTGGCGTATGCGGGTGAGACTCGCCCTCCTGCAGTACAGCAGCACTGTCTCAGTGGAGCACAACTTCCGTGACTGGCAGGACATTGACGTGTTCCACAGCCAAGTGGATGCCATGAACTATTCAAAAGTTTGGGGGCAGTAATTTTTTTCTTTCTTTTAATACTTTTTAAATTCAGTGTTAAATGGATAAAAAGTGACATTAAAGACTTCTATTTGAAATAAATGCTGTTCTTTTTGACATTTTATTCATCAAAGAAAAAAGTATCACAGGTTCCAAAAAATAGTAAGCAGCACAACAGTTTCGACACTGATAATAAATCAGCATATTAGAATGATTTCTGAGGGATCATGTGACACTGAAGACTGCAGTAATGATGCTGAAAATTCAGCACTGCATCACAGAAATAATATATATTTTAAAGTATATTAAAATAGGAAACCGATATTAGAAATTGCAATAATATATCACAATATTACTGTTATTTCTGTATTTTTGATCAAATAAATACAGCCTTGATGAACATAAGTAAAACCCTCTAAGTGCTGTTAGAAATTTTCTTCCAAAATGAGCATTTTTATCAGGCTTCTATGTGTAGGTTCAGTCATTTCATATTAATTCATATTCATTTCATTGCTATTAAAGCGAAATAACTGAACATAAACATATAGGAACCTGAGAAAAATGCTCATTTTAAAAGAAAAGTTCAGATGGCACAGAACTCATATATACTGACCCTTCAAAAAAAAAAAACGAAAAAAAAAAAAAAATATATATATATATAAGCTTATTTCAGTTAGTTGCCAAGGCAATACTTTAAGTTAGTTTAACTTTGTTGTGCTAAAAATTAAAACTAATAAAAATAACAAAAACACACTTCAAAATCACTAAAACCTGAACTAAAATTAAGAAAATGTTTATGACATTTCAATGAAACTTAAAAAAACAGCATTGCACCTGGCATAATTTTTTCGCTGTATCTGTAAATGGTAATCTGAATACTCTGAATGGTGTTTCAGAATATAGACATCAGACATCAGGCCTGTGATGTAGAAGAAACACTCGGTAGAGCCCGGCTTGGTCTGTGCTCATGAACAAACAGAGTTCAAACTGTTTGAGGAAGAAGTGTTAAACAGCAGTAATCCTCTCTCTGAGCTGTTTGATGAAGCGGTTAACTCCATCGTTCTGAAAGCTCTGGTTTACGGCCAGAGCACAGCAGGTGGATTCAGGGCGGCACATGAAAGACTAGGAAGTGTTTCCCACACTGCAAGTGTAGCAGGTGCTGGAGCTTTCGCCAGGGCCTCTCTGTGCTTCACAGACGGGTTAAAGATCAAGACCAGCGAATTATGCAAAGATAAACAAAACAGGGGTGCGTTTCCCAAAACCATCGTTCACTAACTATGGTCATTAGTTCCATTGAATTCTATTAACAACGACGGAACTTGCGACCATAGTTGCTTTCGGGAAACGCACCCCAGAACGTCTTGCATCAACACTCCATCATTCTCAGAAATCAAATCCACCGACTCTTATTGAACTGAATGGGAAAGCCTGCACTTGTCAATGAATATCCTTCAGAAATGTACAATTGAAATTATTATTATGTCTGCTCATTCTGTAATTTCTTGTAAATATCAGGGTAAACCAGGCGATCCAGGATTTGATGGGCCTCCTGGTCCTAAAGGATCTAAAGTAAGTTTTTAGTGCACTAATTCTGTCTTATTTTTGACAAGATGTGGTGTTTTCAAATCTGATTTAATATGATTTTCTGTGTTTTTCCATAGGGAGGGGCAGGTTTAAATGGACGTCCAGGATTAGAGGGTCTGAGGGTACTATATCTTGATATATTACTCTAAAATAGTTATGGATATACGTTTTGTTTGTATGTTCATTGCTGGGTCTCTGATTGCTTCTTTTATTGCAGGGAAGACCAGGATCAAAAGGAGAAAAGGCAAGTATATTTGACTTAATGACAGTGAATTCACTTGTTTTTCTCTACAACATGAAGCTGTTAAGCTTATCAGCAAACGATGAGAGTGTTTCATCCTGACTGTACAGTGTTTCACAGAAGACAGCCTGATGGTGAAGTGTTATAGATGATATCAGACAGCAGGACAATGAAACTTACTTTCACTCTGTCTCCGTTCTGTAGGGCGGGAAAGGAGAATGTGGCGCCCCAGGGATGAAAGGAGATCAAGTATGTTTTATGAAATGATTCTCTGAATCTGTGGTCTGTATGTGTCATGATGATCCTATCTTTCATTCCCACAGGGCCTGGACGGACCCCCAGGACCACGTGGACCACGAGGAGATCAGGTTGCCTTTATCAAGTTTGTGATATATGCATGAATTTACCTTGATTTATCATTATGATTTGTTGCGTTGTGGCATTATTTCGGTGACAGTTATTCTTAGTACGGTTATGTAAAAAAAAAATAATGATTTGAATATTATAATATTAATGATTGTAAAATCGAAATAAATTAAAACTGAAAAACTATTTCTTTTGATAAAAAAATCCAGAAAATAATTGTCAAATGTACAGTATAAAACTCATCACTGTTACTACAAATATATTAACTCTAATAATTATTTCTGAAGGATCACATGACACTGAAGTAATGGCTGCTAAAAATTCAGATTTGTATATAAAATATATTATTATATATTAAATATATTCTATTTAAACGATTTAATATATGAAAATACATTTTAAATGAATAATATTTCACAATATTAGGTTCCTGTTTTACTGTATTTTGAAATGCAGCCTTGGTGAACATAAGAAACTTTTCAAAAACATTTAAAAAATCTAACCGACCTCAAACTTTGGACTGGAATATGACATAATATGATATATCTGTTTTATTTTTTTATTATTTCATTCAGACAGGATTATTTTTTATTATTATATTCAATATTGATACTGGGCTTTTGCATTACAGTAATAAGAATTTGAGTTGAAAATTAATGTAAAAAATTTTCTTCATTTTTAAAGAAGTCTAATTTTCTTCATGCAAAATTGAATCATGTATTTTTTTTGTTTTAAGGTCCAATTTTCGCTATTAATAAACCATTAACTATGACTTTTGCCTCAATAAACCCCTAATTTGCTGCTTATTAATAGTTAGTAAGCTAGTTGTTATGTTTAGGTATTGGGTAGGATTAGGGATGTAGAATATGGTCGTGCAGAACATGTGCTTTAGAAGTACTAATAAACAGCCATTATGTTATTAATAGGCATGCTAATAAGCAACTAGTTAATAGTGAGAATTGTTCCCTATACTAAAGTGTTACCATTTTTTCTTTTGAATTATGGGTGACATATAAGCAGAACATTTCAGACTTTTGATCCCACTTCAATATCTGGAAATCTGCATATAGACAAAAGAATAGCATGACAGTGAATTCACTTGTTTTTCTCTACAACATGAAGCTGTTAAGCTTATCAGCAAACGATGAGAGTGTTTCATCCTGACTGTACAGTGTTTCACAGAAGACAGCCTGATGGTGAAGTGTTATAGATGATATCAGACAGCAGGACAATGAAACTTACTTTCACTCTGTCTCCGTTCTGTAGGGCGGGGAAGGAGAATGTGGCGCCCCAGGGATGAAAGGAGATCAAGTATGTTTTATGAAATGATTCTCTGAATCTGTGGTCTGTATGTGTCATGATGATCCTATCTTTCATTCCCACAGGGCCTGGACGGACCCCCAGGACCACGTGGACCACGAGGCGATCAGGTTGCCTTTATCAAGTTTGTGATATATGCATGAATTTACCTTGATTTATCATTATGATTTGTTGCGTTGTGGCATTATTTCGGTGACAGTTATTCTTAGTACGGTTATGTAAAAAAAAATAATGATTTGAATATTATAATATTAATGATTGTAAAATCGAAATAAATTAAAACTGAAAAACTATTTCTTTTGATAAAAAAATCCAGAAAATAATTGTCAAATGTACAGTATAAAACTCATCACTGTTACTACAAATATATTAACTCTAATAATTATTTCTGAAGGATCACATGACACTGAAGTAATGGCTGCTAAAAATTCAGATTTGTATATAAAATATATTATTATATATTAAATATATTCTATTTAAACGATTTAATATATGAAAATACATTTTAAATGAATAATATTTCACAATATTAGGTTCCTGTTTTACTGTATTTTGAAATGCAGCCTTGGTGAACATAAGAAACTTTTCAAAAACATTTAAAAAATCGAACCGACCTCAAACTTTGGACTGGAATATGACATAATATGATATATCTGTTTTATTTTTTTATTATTTCATTCAGACAGGATTATTTTTTATTATTATATTCAATATTGATACTGGGCTTTTGCATTACAGTAATAAGAATTTGAGTTGAAAATTAATGTAAAAAATTTTCTTCATTTTTAAAGAAGTCTAATTTTCTTCATGCAAAATTGAATCATGTATTTTTTTTGTTTTAAGGTCCAATTTTCGCTATTAATAAACCATTAACTATGACTTTTGCCTCAATAAACCCCTAATTTGCTGCTTATTAATAGTTAGTAAGCTAGTTGTTATGTTTAGGTATTGGGTAGGATTAGGGATGTAGAATATGGTCGTGCAGAACATGTGCTTTAGAAGTACTAATAAACAGCCATTATGTTATTAATAGGCATGCTAATAAGCAACTAGTTAATAGTGAGAATTGTTCCCTATACTAAAGTGTTACCATTTTTTCTTTTGAATTATGGGTGACATATAAGCAGAACATTTCAGACTTTTGATCCCACTTCAATATCTGGAAATCTGCATATAGACAAAAGAATAGCACAACCTATAATGAAGTATATCATTCTTATAAAGTAAGAGTAATGCACCTCCCAAGTGCAGGCTCATACAGTCGGACGATCTCTCCTGTCCCTGCACTAATGGAATGTGATCGAGGGATTAAGTGCTGTTCTTACACTAATGTAACATAGCTAAAGCCGTGAATCCAGGCCTACAGGCCATTGTTCCTCTTTGACGGCTGTCTTTGTTCCTCTGGATTAGCATAAGGACAGGGGTTACTATCTCCTGCCCTCCTCCTTCAGTCTCTGTCCCTGTGCTTTTGGTGTGATGACAGCAGCCTCCGTTTTTTGACCTGATTCAGATTTAGAGAGCTTCAGTTTCCCACACAGTCTATTCTCTGGTGACGGGGAATCTGTCTGGCTGTCATGTGTCCAATGAAAACACATCATAAGTGATGGCACGGCTAGCTTTATTATCCTTGTCTGTTTCAGTTTTTGTGAGGCAGCTACAATTTGTGGAAGCAAGCTGACCAATTTGGGTCAAGGTCTGCATAAAACAGTTTACGAGGTTTAATTAAATAGTCTACAGAAATACATGCAATTCTGAAAACGCACAACAGAGATATGAATGTATATGCATTTATTGGTTACACTTTATTTCGATAGTCCACTTTAGACATTCTATTAACTATAAGTAACTTTGTAACTACATGTCAACTACATGTCAACTAATTCTCATTCATTTGCAACTACATGTCTACTAACTCTCAGAGTAGACTTAGGGTAGGTTTAGGGTTAGTAGAATAAGTTGACAAAGAAAGTGTTAGAAGATATTAAGCAGACAGTCTACTAATACTCTACTAACTGCTAGTTGACATGTAGTTGCAAAGTTACTTACTGTTAATAGAATGTCTAAAGTGGACTATCGAAATGAAGTGTTACCCATTTATTTACTACATGTTAAGTTATTCAGTTATTCAAACTGATGAACACTGTTGGGAAAAGATTTAAATACAGTGATTTATCCTGATATGATGACTTATCCGGTGGCTCCTCTTTTGGACAACACTAGTATTGAATTGAATATTACAGACTTCATCTGTGAGTTGAAATGTCTGATAATTTACAATTTGCTGTTTGCCGTCTAAGCATCAGAAATACATGTAACTTCAGAATGTCCATATCTGTGCATGCCATTTTTTTTTTGATAAGTTTAGACTCTGCGCACAAAGGATATAATTATTCCTAATAGGCCATACCTAAAAAAAATGATTATGTGCTAAACAATTTACCGCAATACAATAAGATGCTTAAAATTATGGAAGCCCGTTTCCACCACTGAATTAAAAAAGAAGGTAATTGCGAATTTTTATCCCACAATTCTGACTTTTTTATCACTATTGTGAGTTTATGCCAGTTCAGTTCTGACTTTATTCCGCTCAGAACTGTGTGATATAAACTCAGAATTCTGTCTTTTTTTTCTCAGAATTATAAGACATAAAGTCAGAATTGCAAGTTAAATTCAGAATTGCATGATATAAAGTCAGAATTGCGGGTTGTAAAGTCAAAATTGCGAGATATAAATTTGTGACTGTGAGAATATAGTCACTCTAGTATTTTTTTTAAGTATTTTTCTCCTCAGAATTGGTCTTTGTAACTTGCAATTGCAAGTTTATATCTCACAATTCTGAAAAAAGAAGTCAGAATTAAAAGAAAAAAGTCAGAATTGCAAAATATAAACTCGCAATTGTGAGAAATTAGAATTACGTTTTTATCTCGCAATTCTGACTTTCTCGCAATTGCAAGTTTCTATGCCGCGATTCTGATTTTATAACTCGCAATTGCAAGTTTATATAACGCAATTTTGAGAAAAAAGTCAGAATTGTGAGTTCATATCTCGCAATTCTGACTTGGTTACTCGTAATTGCGCATTTTTATCCTGCAGTTCTGTCTTTACAACTTGCAATTCTATAAAAATTTTATTGTATTTACTGTATTTTTTATCAAATAAATGCAGCCTTGGTGGGCATAAGAGACTTGAACAATTAAAAACATCTAATCAAATCCTAAACTTTTGAATGGTAGTGTATCAATATGCATTTATTATTGTATAATTATAATGGAATTATATTTTTGCATACTCTTTGTGTTTTGAAAGGGGGAAAAAGGTGGCCAAGGCAGACCTGGGCCGACTGGGCCAGTTGGTATCGGCGAGCCAGGACTGCCTGTAAGTGATACGTCAGTAACCACTAGAGGGAGATACACATCCTCAGCCATGAGTTACACTGTAACAGGCAACTATCAGACATCTTATCCACTGTATATGTATATATAATATACTAATATTTAGTATCTTTTTGTTAGGGCCCACCAGGACCTTCAGGAGTTCAAGGCAACCAAGGGTTTCCCGGAGAGGGTTTACCAGGACCAAAGGCAAGAGTTAACAACAAAAACAACAACAAACTCCATCTAACTTAAAATTTTCATGCAATTAAGTTTCTGAAAATATTACATTCACTTCACATTTAAGTACATTATGTAATAATCAGTATTTGACAAGGCTCTGCTCATTAGCACTGATGTGACTGGTTGAGCTCTATGAGTTAATCATGTACCGATGCACTGTTGTTCACCACATTTCAGGGTGACAGAGGATTTGAGGGTCCTAAGGGTGGACGTGGACCTCCTGGGATTAGCATCAAGGGTGATAAGGTATAGTATAATCTCAATTTAATAAGAAACATGCTGTTGTCGAGTGTAATAAGAGCCAGCAATAAGACACTAGTTGTTCCTTACTTCTGCAGGGTAACACAGGGGAAGCGGGTTTGCCTGGACTGATGGGATTTCCAGGAGTTGGGCTCCAGGGTGAAAAGGCAAAGAGAAGTTCTTATCTATCCATAGGCTGCATCCTACATTATTTTATAGGAAATCATAGTACGGTTTTCATTTTGCAAACACTTTTTGATATGGTGCTTCTCGCTGCAGGGAGACCCGGGACCCATAGGACCACCTGGCCCAAGAGGCCCTCCTGGAGTGGGCATGGTGGGAACTAAGGTACATTGTGTGTGTGTGTGTGTATGTGTGTGTGTGTGTGTGTGTGTGTATTTTTTAGATTAGCGGTCTGATATTAAATGCAAGAAACTGTATCTTTAGAGAGTATTCTGAATAAGTACTTTCAATCCATATTATCATACTGCATCCTACATTATTTTATAGGAAATCATAGTACGGTTTTCATTTTGCAAACAGTTTTTGATATGGTGTTTCTCGCTGCAGGGAGACCCGGGACCCATAGGACCACCTGGCCCAAGAGGCCCTCCTGGAGTGGGCATGGTGGGAACTAAGGTACATTGTGTGTGTGTGTGTGTGTGTGTGTGTGTGTATTTTTTAGATTAGCGGTCTGATATTAAATGCAAGAAACTGTATCTTTAGAGAGTATTCTGAATAAGTACTTTCAATCCATATTATCATAAGTAAACCACATTTAAATGAATAGTTCACCCAAAAAAAAAAACTTTTTTATTTAACAAAAATGTGAAATGTTGCCTTGGCACCTAACAGAAATGAATAAGTCGAAGTTATAAAATTACTAAAAATTTAAACTCAAATTTTTAAATATATTAAAGCTAAACATAAATAAAGAAACAAACAACACTGACAAAAGCATATAACAAAAGTGCTACATTTTTAATTAAATGAAAATATTATTTTAAATTATATGAACATTTAATTTCGTAAATGTACAGTTCATTCAAATTTGATCCCAGGGTGATCAGGGCTTTCCAGGAGAATCTGGACCACAAGGTGAGAGAGGAATAGGAGAACCAGGACCAAAAGTATGTACACTTCTAATGTCCTTACAAACTAAATCAAATATTATCTGTTTCTATATTTTCAATATACACTATTGAGTAAACACCACCAAAATGTTTTGTGTAATAGCGATATATTGGTTTTATGACTTTAGGGAGAACCAGGCCCAGACGGAGCACCTGGCATTCCTGGTATCCCAGGTGAAGATGGATCTGTGGGTCCAAAGGTAGGACACAACGTCCTGGGTCACAGATTTAATTTAAAATGTATCCAGTGGTTTGGCTTAAAAAAATTAATGAATGTCATATGAAGTCATATGCTGTTTTAAGGTGTGGCTAAGAAATATCATTCTTTCTTATCTGTTTTATGAGTGCAAATATAGGAACGTATCTAATAAAGCTTTGGGATTTCACTACAGCATGCATTGAATTCCTGTTTATATGTGTTTACTCCCCTGGCATTTCTATATTCTGTTCATTATGTTAGGGGGAGGTGGGTTTACCTGGTGCTCGAGGTCCAGAGGGCTTAGCAGGGAGAGGTACTCCTGGTGAGAAGGTACAATGATGCTCTGATAGGTTTTTTTAGTTACCACAACTATATGCGTAGATCAAGTTATAACTGATATGTGCATGCAGCTCTTAAGGCCAAACAGTGATTCACAGCATACATTTATTAACATTGAGTCACGCTTGTAAATGGCCATTTCCAGAAACTAACATTTGCCCTTTTGGGTGACAATGAGAGTAATATATTTCCTGCCATTAAATGCAAGCTTTACATTACAGTATAAATTTACTGGATTTACTGATTCAAAGTCAGTTTAACACAGGTTGTAACCATTTCAAGTGTTGGAAATATGTCTGACACCAGATATTTTATATGATTATTTTAGGAATATTACAAAACCAGCCAGGTCCAGTTTGTATTTCACATTAAAATTATTATTTTTTTAATTTTTTGTAATTATTTTTAAAGAAAGTACATTGGACAAAATAAAGACATTTATAAAGTTACAAAATATTTATATTTCAAATAAATACTCTTCATAATAAGCAGAAATAATTGATAAAAATAAGAAATCTTTCATGAGCAGCAAATCAGCATATTATTATGATTTCTGAAGGATCAGACTGGAGTAATGATGCAGAAAATTCAGCTTTGATCACAGAAATAAATTATATTTTAAATTACTGTACATTTTTGATTAAATAAATCCAGGTTTTGTGAGCAGAAAAGACTCTTTGAAATAAAATAATCTTTGTAAAAATGTAATATTGTAATACAATTTTTATATTGTTTTACATTTTCACTGAGAATGAGAATAAAAATTCCTCTAAATATATGCTGCCACAAAAAAAAATACAAATCCTGAATCCTTAGAGACTTTTAAAGACCTTTTAGAGTCTAAATAAGATAAAATAAGATAAAAATAAGATATCATATTCTGCATAGAGACATTTTCTCTATGTAGAATATGATATCTTATTTTTGCATTTAGATTTTGGGGTAAAATGTGATCTGGACTTGTATTCATGATGCTTTTGTCTCAAAATAAAATCATATCATGTTATTTACAACCAAAAAAGCTGAACAATACTCAAATACTGTCCCATCTGAATGTACTAAAGTGGAAAATGTCACTGTAAATTTTGTTTGTGAATCTCTCCACAGGGGGACCGAGGGGACAGAGGACCTCGGGGTCCCCCAGGAAGTGCAGGAGCAGCAGGACCCCCGGGGGCCAAGGTGGGTGGGACAGTGACAGAGCTTAAAAACATACAATCTGGTTTTGCATTGGGAATGTGGAGGTTAATGTCCAGGTCGTTGTGTTTAGAGGTTTGGAATGTCAGATGACTTTTAAAGTCCCCATGAAATCAAAATTAAAGTTTTTTGCGTGTTAGGTGAGCAGAAAAGACTCTTTGAAATAAAATAATCTTTGTAAAAATTTAATATTGTAATACAATTTTTATATTGTTTTACATTTTCACTGAGAATGAGAATAAAAATTCCTCTAAATATATGCTGCCACAAAAAAAAATACAAATCCTGAATCCTTAGAGACTTTTAAAGACCTTTTAGACTTTTGAGTCTAAATAAGATAAAATAAGATAAAAATAAGATATCATATTCTGCATAGAGACATTTTCTGAATCTGAATGTACTAAAGTGGAAAATGTCACTGTAAATTTTGTTTGTGAATCTCTCCACAGGGGGACCGAGGGGACAGAGGACCTCGGGGTCCCCCAGGAAGTGCAGGAGCAGCAGGACCCCCGGGGGCCAAGGTGGGTGGGACAGTGACAGAGCTTAAAAACATACAATCTGGTTTTGCATTGGGAATGTGGAGGTTAATGTCCAGGTCGTTGTGTTTAGAGGTTTGGAATGTCAGATGACTTTTAAAGTCCCCATGAAATCAAAATTAAAGTTTTTTGCGTGTTAGTATCAATATGTTAGTCTTAAGGTTATCTATAAGGCAGTGTGCTCCAAAATAGTGACAACATTCGCATTTAGAAGATATAAGCTCCAGAGACACGATAGCACGGAGCCGATCACACGCGCGAGTCAGCGCAGACCACAAAATGTATCGGAGCTATTTGAATTCTACACAGAATGCTATATTTTATAGCAATATGGATGAGATTGTGGCTAGCATACCCTGTCAAATGCGGCTTTAGGAGCTCAACGGCTCTGAACGGCTCTAGCCCAAGCTGTGATATAAACAAATGCTATTGGCTGTTTTAAAAAGGGGCGGGGCTGCTTGATATGTCCCGCCCTGTCTTCCTGTTTCAGTTAAAATGACGTCAACACATAGAGTAACGCTGCGTGTTTCTAAGCATTTCAGGGGACCTTTAAAGAGTTCATAAAAGGTCTTTAGGGTTTGGTTGTACACTTTTATGGCTGCTCATAATCAGTCCTTTAACAGTCATGTTGGTTGTGAGAATATTCACACATAAAACCCATAAACTCATAAAATACATTGAAAATCTAAAATATATTCCCTGGTCTCTGATCTCTCACCATCCATGTTGTTCTTATATACTTTATAAACATGTTTTAAAAACTGGTAATAAAAGATTTTTTTATGCCTAGGGAGAACCAGGAAGTTTAGGTATGATGGGTTTACGAGGACCTCCAGGTCGAGGATTACCTGGTTCAACGGTACGTATATGTCTCACTAGGTTTAAACAGTGATAGATGCTATTCACACAAAGTGTAAAAAGAAGTAATATTTGTACTAAAGGTAAATATCTGCACAACAATGGGTGCCTTTGCCAACAGGGTTGGCTATTTGCATTCTAACCTAATGTCATAAATTACTGTATGTTTTGTACATATGGTCTTAATCATTATGTTGGTTGTGTGTTTTTTTTGTTAGGGAGAGCCAGGACCTGCAGGTCCCGCGGGTCCTGTTGGAGAGCCAGGTGTTGGGACCACAGGCCCTAAGGTTATAGCCTCAAAGATTATTACTATATGGTTTAATATGATTCTTTTTGACCTAATAAAATCTATGTTGGTATGTCTCAGGGTGACAGAGGAAGTCCAGGACAAGTGGGGCCACAAGGAATGAAGGGGGAGGGTTACCCTGGACCACAGGTGCGTAAAAGAAGACAAATACTTTGATAAGAACAACACACAAAACAAAACCAGTAATATCTATACATATGATATATTCTCAGGGGCTTCCAGGGTTGCCTGGGCCGCCAGGTGAAGTTGGACCTGAAGGACAAGGAATTCCTGGACCAAAGGTATTTGTCATTTTTCAATTCACAATAAACGATTCTGTCTTACAGAAAGTCCGCAAAGTCTATTCTAGTAGTTCGGCTAAACTGATGTAGTTGTTGTTTTCAGGGAGACCGGGGCTCATCTGGAACGACCGGCCCTTCAGGGCCTCCAGGGATTGGACTGATGGGACCAAAGGTTCAATAACACTTCTTAAAATAAATTGTGCATCGGCTCAGAATATATTCAACATTGATTAATATGAGATTTTTATAGGGTGCAGTTGGCCAGCCTGGTGCTCCTGGTCTTCCAGGACCTCTAGGAGAGGGAATTCAGGGTCCCAAGGTAAGGACCAAAGGCCTTACTATAGCTCAATCAGCTTGGACAACAAGCAAAACACTTTACCACACAGAAACTTAGACCTCTAAATTAACATTTTGTGATCACAGGGAGATCCTGGGTTTCAAGGGCCCCCTGGCCCTAGAGGGCCTCCAGGTGATGGTCTGCCTGGAGAGAAGGTACGAGATAGGCAAACACTGACTGATTGTATTATATGTCAGTGTAGTTAATACTATGTTACTTTTCAAATGCAATGCTAAATTAACAAAATGTTATGGTTTCAGGGTAACAGGGGCCTAGCAGGGGAACGTGGGAGAAAAGGAGAGGGAGGAGAACATGGAATGCCTGGACAAACAGGAGCCAAGGTAATATCCAGTTACCAGGTTCACATTCAGTTCCAATTAACGTTTGAATCATTTGCCAGACAGAGTTGTAGTCAAGACTGGCTCATTTGAGTCCAAGTCAAGGTTGAGACCAGAGTAGAGTCCAAGTCCAGACAAAGACCTAAAGATAGTCTGAATGGACAACATACCACTATCCGTAAGCATGTTTTAGTACTCAAGACCGGACTTGGTCTCAAATCCGAGAGTCCAAACCAGAAACAGACTCAAGACAGAGTTGAGTTTTGAGCACTACAACACTGTTTTTGGGTTAAAAGCATATGAAAAACCATTAACCTTACACCAGAGATATTCAACTATTCAACTGTCCTGCAGTTTACCTCCAGTCCTAATCAAACACACTTGAATCAGCTTATCAGGGTCTTTAAAGTTGCTTAAAAAATCACAGGTAAGTGTGTTGAAGAAATAAACTTTGCAGGACAGTGGGTCTCCAGGAGCAGGGTCGAAGACCTCTTGAGTTACACTATAAAAACACTGTACCATACAGATACTTGAAACGTCTTCAATACATTACTATAATAGGCTCGCATGCTTGTCATTGAAGAAGTGTATAAAATGTCATTATATGTATGAACTGCTTTGTATTTGTATTTTTAAAATGAATAGATCTGATAGTAAAATCACATAGTATCGTGAAATATGAACAAACTTCAACCTTAAAGACACAGATATGGAGAAAAGTGTGCACATGAAATGTTCCAAATTTAATCATAAAATAAGCACTGGCTTAATGGTGATATTTTGCTGGAAAGCGCTTGTGTTTCCTGATGAGTTGTGCTGCCCGGTCCAACGCCGCTCAGTCTTTAAATGTCTCTTTTTCACAGGATGCACTTCCAACAGAGTTTGAGACCACTTCTTCTCCAGATGACTATGACGACATGCATATTGACAACAGCTGGATGATGCCCTTTGTTGATGGGTCTTTAAATGAGCTTCCTAAGGTGACAGATGCCCCAGTTGGAGATAAGACGAGACAATCCTCCATCTCAGTATTGGGACCCCAGACACCCATAAACTGGCGGCCTGTTCCAGAAATCAGCCCACCACCACGGACTCTACCTCCACCGGCCCCTCAGCCTAACGATTTCATGAAAGGTAAACACACTTGCTTTCACTACAAATATAGGCCGACTGATGTTTACTCCTGGTATTAACAGGCATTGTCAATGCAATGCAATGTTGTTGTTGTTTTTCAGAGGTAGGCTGTAGGCAGGGATTGGATCCTGGGCCGTGTCGGGAGTACAGGGTGATGTGGTACTACGACCCGGAGGCCAACGCATGCGCACAGTTCTGGTATGGTGGCTGCCAAGGCAACAGCAACCGCTTTGAGACAGAAGACCTTTGTCAAAACGTTTGTGTACAGACATAACATACCCTCACAATGAAGCACAGGCCTTCATTCAGCAGATTCATATCAAGCTGTGTCGACTTTGCGATCATGCACTATGCAGATACATTTTCATTGTCGTACATGTGTTTTATGAGACGAGTAGGGATTCCTGCTACACTGACTGTAGATCATATTTGTCCTTTGGGCCAACACTATTTTAAATATTGTTTACTAGACTAGTGCTGCTCCATTTTCTAGAAAATAACATGTATATTCAAAGTACCACGTTTTCCCCTAGTCGCACTGAATGTTTTATGAATTTCTTTATTTTTAATATTCCTTCCATAGAATATATTTCTGTTAATTGTGATTTCTGTTAAAGGAATAGTTCACCCAAAAATTAGAATTTGCTGGAAATGTACTCATCCATCAGGCCATCCAAGATGTAGATGAGTTTGTTTCTTTAAATGTAGCTTTACATCACTTGCTCAACAGTGGATCCTGTGCAGTGAATGGGTGCCGTCAGAATGAGAGTCCAAACAGTTGGTAAAAACATCTCAATAATCCACAATTAATTCACACCACTCCAGTCCACATCTTGTGAAGAAAAAAGCTGTGTGTATGTAAGAAGCAAATCCATCATTAAGATGTTTTAACTTTAAACCGTCAATTCTGGCCAAAATATTAGTCCATAATCTATAATAACGCTTCTTCCAGTGACAAAGTCCACTCCAAAATCCACTCACATATTTGTTTAGAATTGTTTTGGATTGTTTTCACTTGTAAGTGGGGCTTGATTTGTGCATACAGTATATCTCTCCTGATTCAGACATGACAACTTTTTCACTGAAGAAAGCAATATTACGCGTACTCTTATTTTTAGCCGGAAGCAGTAGTTTGAACTTTTCACTTCACAAGATGTTAATTGAGGGACTGGAGTGGTGTGGATTACTTGTGGATTATTGTGATGTTTTTATCAGCTGTTTGGACTCTCATTCTCACGGCACCCATTCACTGCAGAGGATCCATTACTGAGTAAGTGATGTAATGCTGAATTTCTCCAAATCTGTTCAGATGAAGAAACAATCTACATCTTGGATGGACTGAAATGTTCAGTCAATTTCCACTTTTCCTTTAAACATCATTACCAATGTTCAAAGTGGAAAAAAGAGGTGTTAGTACACCCCTTGTTTTCATAAAATAATTGAGTAAATACACATACATATTTTTATTTTATTATTATATAAACGTATTTTAATTTCAACCAAAGCTAATGTTGAGAAGCTAACAATATGTCCCTGCTTTATACTGTAAAAAAGCACTGCACAAAATTACTAATACTGTGTACAAGACGGCATCAGCCAACTTCTTGCACTGATCATGACAAAATAATGTATGTGTGTCAATCACATATAGATTATTTTGAGTGCTTGTGTATTTAAAATGCAAAAAGCATAACATTAAAAATCAGTGTTAAACTCTTAGGGACAGTATTGTATGTTAAATGTGTATTATATTTTTGTATGATTAACATCATTTCCATCAATTATTTCAACAATGTTTATCCATGTTTCAGTTTTCATGTTTCCTTAGTAGTAATCATTCATGACTCATAAGTTTGGGAATGATCTCTTCCCAGCAATTCTTAAACACATAACAATCAAACATACAGAAGTTCTTTCCTCTATAAATGAATGACACCCAAAGTCTGGATTAACCAACGCTTTTCTTGGCTTACTTGTATTTTTACGTTTGGACTATGATGAAGCAAACCACTGTGTTTCCAAAGCTAATGCCATTAATGTTTTGGACAATAAAGTTGTTAGTCTGTAACTTTGTAAAACCTGTTTTAATATTGTATAGAACAATAAATATAACATGATTTACATTTAATGGTACAGTGAAGTAAAGTATACATGTATCAATAAATTTCACTTATAAAGATTGCATTTTGAATGCTGTCTCATTTTTGGATTAGATGTTATTTATATTATTTAAGTGTCAATCTGGCTTAAATCTGTATTTATATCCATGTGGGCGTAAGTGATGGGTGTAGTACTCTAAAGTGCGCATTTGCACTGCATCTATGTAGTGGAACGAGATGGCTAAATCTGAACAGCATCCAGGGCCCTAAAAACACAAGAAAAGAACAATGTATTTAACATAAGGACCAATCAATTGATTTCCAGCTGAAAATAAGTGTTTAAAAGGGGTTAAGAAACTGTATTAATCTATTTCTTGCTTCTCTCTCTTTCGGATAAGATGAGACTATAGAATTACCAAACATGTTCCTGGATCAACATCCTTCTTAAACAACACTGCAATTAACAAAACACATTTATTAAAGGGCACCTAATATGCTCCTTCTTACAGTATGTCTCAGGTGTCCCCAGAATGTGTCTGTGAAGTTTCAGCTCAAGATCCTTTACACAGATCCTTTATCAATTATATCATTTTGAAAATGCCTATTTAGAGCGGAAGCAGAAATATGCTGTTTTCGTGCATGTCTCTTTAAATGCAAATGAGCTGCTGAGAGTAGGACTGTGCCTTTACAGCTTGTTCCTCAGATATTCTGCTAAAAACATCTGTTCTATCATGCCAAAACATCATGTCTGTTGTGCTGAAATCATGTGTGTTAAAGCATATTAGTTTAAAATTCTTATATACGGTTTTCTGAGCGCACACATCTGAAGCACACGCAGAAAGCAGCTGTCACATGGCAGTACTAAACTAAGTTTTTTTCATGTCTTATTGTGCTGTTGGTTATGTCTGTGAAGTTAAACAGCTGGAAAAGAAATGGCATGCTTATATTAGATCTGTGTATTAAGTGACAGTAGCGTAATATACAGTACCTGTACTGCTGTCTACACTGTACATATGACCCAAACAGTAAAATAAAAACTGAAAATCATTCACTGCACTTGAATCTATTTCTGTAACACTAATAAGAAGACATTTCTTATGTGAATGCTGCTTTTAAATGCTCTAGCATGAAGATGTTCATGGCGGATTGTGTGCTGCTCACTAAGGACAGGGTCTCTGCTAATACTGCAGTGTCCATCAACAGCCATGGGCGGGGCCTGTGCAAAGTGACTTCACATTGCACACAAATCGAACACACCTAATTTAAAACCCATTTTAATGGTATTTAAATAGTCTACACTGTAAAAAAAATCCGTAAAATTTGCGGTAAAAAAACGGCAGCAGTGGTCATGCTGACACACATGAAACAAATAATGCAATAAACATTAATTTAACAACATTAGGTGTAACACACAACCTTAATATACAAAACTGATAAGAAAAAAATAATAAGAAAAAAAAATCTAATTTGAAATGTAACGCAGGGAATTGTGGGAATGTCAATTTACGATTATTCACTGTAAATTATACGGTCTTTTTCACTTCCAAAAACGGTATACTACTGTAAAATTAATGTCCAATACATGTAATGTCCAATACCGTTTTTCACCGTATATAGTAGGGGAATTTTACCGTTAACCATTTAACAGGTTTTTACTGTAGCATTTTTACAGTCTTTTCCCGTTAAATTCACGGTCATTTTTTACAGTGTAGGCTTATGTTAAACTGTGTTCTTGTATAGAAGTACAGAAAGTATTGAATGAAGGGTGTTTAATATACAAAACTGATAAGAAAAAAATAATAAGAAAAATAAATCAAATTTGAAATGTAACGCAGGGAATTGTGGGAATGTCAATTTACGATTATTCACTGTAAATTATACGGTCTTTTTCACTTCCAAAAACGGTATACTACTGTAAAATTAATGTCCAATACATGTAATGTCCAATACTGTTTTTCACCGTATATAGTAGGGGAATTTACCGTTAACCATTTAACAGGTTTTTACTGTAGCATTTTTACAGTCTTTTCCCGTTAAATTCACGGTCATTTTTTACAGTGTAGGCTTATGTTAAACTGTGTTCTTGTATAGAAGTACAGAAAGTATTGAATGAAGGGTGTTTTTGTTTCTACACATCAACATCTGAAACATCTGTATATTTGAACATTTTTTCCATCTAATCTACTTCACGTGACAGTGCACAAACGGCATGTGCGTGTCAGTCCTTTGTCGATTTGAAGCGGCAACCCTCATTGATCTGTTCATTCCAGCCGCAGCCTAAGTTGAATACTCCAAAAGTTTAGGTTAGGGGCTTCTACACATTTTTATTCACCTATCATTTCCTTCTGATTTTGCATGTAAGTTATGGTTAGGGTTAGGTATAGGGGTAGAAGTTAGCACGATACTTTTGGACAGGGATGTTGTTCCAGGATCAACAAAGTATGTTTATTCAGGAACATGTGTTACTTAGAAAACTCACATCTACTAGTATCCGCTTGATAAGTCTGATATCACAAGTTACCATTTCCAGGTCCTTGGACATGCCCGTGTTGATAAGAGCCAATGAGCTGTTGATAGTATTAGCATGTGTGAACTGAGGACTTGAGGGTGAATTGTAAGTTTTTTTAAAGGGTTAGTTCGCTCAAAAATGAAAATTAGTCCATGTTTTACTCACCCTCGAGGCATCTTAGGTGTATATGACTTTCTTCTTTCAGACGACTACAATTGGAGTTATATTAAAAAATGTCCTTGCTCTTCCAAGCTTTATATTGGCATGGGCGGGTGTTTTCGTTCAACAGTCCAAAAGACGTGAAATAAAGCACACAAAACCATAATAAAACATGCCTCACACGGCTCTGGGGGATGAATAAAGGCCTTCTGTAGCAAATAGATACGTTTTAAAAATAAATATCCATATTTAAACAATATAAATAGTTTTGTGTGACTTCCGCTGACTGTCGTGCGCGCGTTCAAACATTTGTTTACAGGAGCAAAGGAAGCAAAGTTTCCTTACTTTACCAAAGGAAAACCAATCTCCTCTTGGCTTATATTGAATTCCTCCGACATTTTATTTACAAATCCTCGTTTTGGGCTTCTAATTTGTGACCAGCGTTTTGTTTTGTTCTCTCTCCATCGCGCTTCTGCGTCACTGCATCACTAATCACCGGCGCGCTATGCAAACGCCTACGACAGTTAGCAGAAGTGAAAGAAAGGTGTTTATAACATTTTAAATATGGATATTTGTCTTACAAAAACGCATTGATTCGCTACAGGATGCCTTTATTCACCCCCTGGAGCCATGTGATGCGTGTTTTTTTAATATGAATGGATGCGCTTCATTTGACTACTTTTGGACTGTTGAACAAAAACACCCACCCACTGCCATTCACGCTTGGAAGAGCAAGGATAATTTTTAATATAACTCAGATTTAATTCATCTGAAAGAAGAAAGTCATATACACCTAGGATGCCTTGAGGGTGAGTAAAACATGGACTAATTAGAATTTTTGGGTGAACTAACCAGATTGAATTTGTCTCTTTAATAACCCTTTAATAACAATGAATTGAATAAAATGTAAATCAGCTACATACTTAGCTTTATTTGCGCATGTTCAACCACATGGATGATATTATGCATTAATGACATCATTATGTGATGTCAAAGAACTGGTGAATCGTTTTTTGTTTTGTTTAGTTTTTTTGACGGCACCCATTCACTGCAGAGGATCCATTGATGAGCAAGCGATGTAATGTTACTTCTCCAAATCTTTTCAGATGAACAAACAAACTCATATACATCTTGGATGGAATGAGGGTGAGTACATTTTCAGCTAATTTTCATTTTTGGGTGAAGTATGTGGCCATCATACACTACACGATCTTCTGTAAAATATGTCAAATCTGACTGCATAAAATGTGCAGACTAGCATTGACTCCTGCAGACTGTAAATTAGGGCAAAAACCTGGGTAATTCCGGCATTAATCCCCTTCGAACATCTCATACTTACCTCAACCGGTTGGTAATGCTCATAGAGGAGGTACCAGGGTCGTAGTCTGGGTGTCTGTCTGGGCAGGTAATAATCTGGAGGGTAAGGATGAAAGGTTTGTCTCCCCAAAACGTCCCTGGAATCACCCAGCTGAACTTTCATTGTCTCCATGCATTTTCCCAAACCAACATCCTCAGTGTCCGTGTTGTGTGTGCAAAGACCATCAGCAAAGCCCTTCACGAATCTCCTCAAAGCTTCCTTACTAAGGACGTAACCAGCTCCTCCGCTCATGTAGCCCTGTGTGACGAGTGGCATGAACCTACGTCCAATACAAACGTGTCATCGTCAGCTTTGAGGAACCAATCAGCATGGTCCAGATGGTGCGTGTGGATGTGCTGGAAGGCCCGTATGGTCTTCCAGTAGAGTTGACTGCGTCCTTCTGACACGTTGAGCCCTACCGTGGGGAAATCTGATGCCTCCGAGCTCATGTACAGAACGATGTTGCAGCTTTTGCCCCATGTGGCACGAACATGTTGTGTTCTGGACTTCAGGTGTTTGGGCTGTGTCATTACCCAGCACAACACTCTGACCTTCTGGCTGAACTCCAGTGCAGCTCTTCTGTTCTCAGCTATAAAAAGAGTTTAGCTTAGAAACAGAAAGAGACTGGCAGTCAAATGTCATGTAGAGAATGACCTAATGTATCATGCTATTTTTGCAGTATGTATACTGTGTGTAGAATGCACATTTTCTGCATGCAAGGAATACTTTGGGTGACCTAGTAAATTTATCGAAGTGTGCAGGTATACTAAAAAGCACATTGTACGAGGCACTGTATCACATAATAATGCATTACGCCCCCATGATGTGACCTGGCATTTCTATGTGAATTTCTATTTTTATAATAATTTTTTGACACATTATTTAAATTTTAAAACATGTTTTTTTTAAACATGTCAACTTTTTTTTGTGTGCAAATTTGATTAAAAATGCTAATTAACAAGTTGAATAATTCTTCTGATAAAGAAATGTGCATAATTGTATTGAATGTGCACTTGATGTGTCAAATGTTCAAAAAACTGTACTTGCAGATAATATGCAGTAATATTAATTAAATAAAAGCTTATTAACACTTAAGTACACCTTTAAAACATGTAATAGTGCCAACGTAAAAGTGTTACTTTAAAGTACATTTTAAATCATTATGTTTTAATAATCATTTGTTGTGCTCACTTATTGTATGTAAAGTACTTGATTTTATTTTCAACTGTAGCTCAACTGTAGTTCATGGACCGGATCACGAATCCGGTCCATGAACTTCCGTCTGCTAGCCATCAGAGGTCACCCTTTCCATTTTCATTGACTCTCGCACTACACACTGTTGCATTTCACCCCAGACTACATATCCCATCGTTCATTGCACTGATTGCACACAGCACTGATTGCACACAGCTGTTTCATATCACTCACTCACTATATAACACTCACTCAAACAACCATTCTCTGCCGAGTATTGCTTAGCCTGTTATTATTCCTAGTTTCTGTTATCCTGCCCGTGTTTCCTTGTTTTGCATTGCCTTGCCTTGTCTGTTTTCTCTGTTTCTGATCTTTGCCTGTTTTCCTGGATTTATCCCTCTAGTCTCGCCCCTGTGATTCTGTCTGCCGATCGTTGACCTACGCTAGCCCTAGGACTATTCTTGTGTTTTGCCCGCCATATACCTGTTTGCCATTGTTAGACCCTGCCTGTTATGACCACGTCTCTTAAATAAAAGCTTGCAGATGGATCCACACGTCTCACGTCTCGTCAGCCCCGTTACATAGCTACTGTGTAATTTGATATTATATTTAATATTAATATATCATAAATTGCAACTTCATTATTTTAAATGTTTAATTACAAATCATTTAAATACATCACATGCAAGCTTCAATACAAAAAATATTACAGTATATCTGAATTTATCTTAAATTCTTGTCAGTACATTCAGCAGTGCACTTTAACCATATTTCAAAGACAATAGATTTATGAAATTACATAACTACTTTTTTCTATTTCTAATAGAAAAGTCTATTATTTCTATAACGAGAAGTAAATGTATGCTAAAGTGTACATTTTTGTTTTGTTTACAAGAGATACAATGTGTTATTTCCAAGATGATAATTGGGTGTCATTTGTTGATAAGATGACATCATGTGACAACAATTATGCAGAATTACAATGCACATGTCCGGTAAGTGCAGAACTGTATACATGCGAAAATTCTGACCCAACAAACAAGCAGTAAACTATCCATTCTAAGCATATGCTTTTGTTAAGTAAATAAGCTGATTTCATCTGAATAATGACAGTTTACTATTGTCTTTACTATTGAATTCTGTTTGCAACTTTGAATCATTATTTTCTTGTTTACCACTGTAAAAGCTGCTTTAAAACAATCTGTATTGTATAAAGCGCTATAGAAATAAAGCTGATTCGACTTGACTTAAGTGTAGTATATCATAGGTGTTCTATTCTATACTGTACATAAAGTTGCATACTCTGAGCAGTGCATACTACATACCGCAGCAATATAAGAGTAGTATATTAGTATGCTATTTCCTTCTTCTGTCTCCTTTCTCCTTCTTTTTTATTTACTTTGGTTGTAGCTGATTACACATGTAAGAGTAGAGAAAAAGCCTTTGTCTTACCTGTATGTTGTACAGCAGGTATATTACTGTCATTCATAGCAAATGAAGGCGTCAGAGTCCTTAAAACACGTGAGACACTCTCTGCTACGCCACTTAAAAAGAAAATGTGCCACTTAAATGACCTCATGTCTTGATAAAACCTGCTTCTTGAACTCATTTAAACAAATATAACATCAATGCTCCAAACGTCCTGCCCTTAAACACACTTTACAGGTTGCGCAACAAGTTCTGCAATCTAGGTTGCATAATTTACATCAGTACACTCTAAAAAATGCTGGGTTGTTTCAATCCAACTTTGGGTCAAATATGGACTAACCCAACTGTTGGGTTAAATTTTTACATTCAATTTTTAACCCAAAAGTTGGGTTAGTCCAAATTTGACCCAAAGTTGGGTTGAAACAACCCAGCATTTTTTAGAGTGTACATGCAAAGCCTGTAAGTTATTTTCCCGCATGTTTATCATTATATTATATTATATTATATTATATACACTTAAAGGGTCAGTTCACCCAAAAATGAAAATTCTGTAATTAATTACTCACCCTCATGTCGTTTCAAACCTGTAAAACCTTCGTTCATCTTCAGAAAACAAATTAAGATATTTTTGATGAAATCTGAGAGCTCTCTGACCCTCCATAGACAGCAATGTTATTACCACGATTAACGTACAGTTGACCCAAAGTTGGATTGAAACAACCCAGCATTTTTTAGAGTGTACATGCAAAGCTTGTAAGTTATTTTCCCGCATGTTTAGCATTATATTATATTATATTATATACACTTAAAGGGTCAGTTCACCCAAAAATGAAAATTCTGTCATTAATTACTCACCCTCATGTCGTTTCAAACCTGTAAAACCTTCGTTCATCTTCAGAAAACAAATTAAGATATTTTTGATGAAATCTGAGAGCTCTCTGACCCTCCATAGACAGCAATGTTATTTCCACGATTAACGTACAGAAAGGTAGTAAGGACATCGATAAAATAGTCCATGTGCACAAAAAGTGTTCTCGTAGCTTCGTAAAATTACGGTTGAACCCCTGATGTCACATGGACTATTTTCATTTTGGGGTGAACTAACCCTTTAACATGTTTAAATATTTCTGGACATATGTGACCCTGGACCACAAAACCAGTCATAAGTTGCACAAAGTGTTCTCGTAGCTTCGTAAAATTACGGTTGAACCCCTGATGTCACATGGACTATTTTCATTTTGGGGTGAACTAACCCTTTAACATGTTTAAATATTTCTGGACATATGTGACCCTGGACCACAAAACCAGTCATAAGTTGCACGGGGATATTTGTAGCAATAGCCAACAATATTTGGCAATGGTATGGGTCAAAATCATTAGGATATTAAGTAAAGAGCATGTGCCATGAAGATATTTAGTAAATTTCCTACTGTAAATATAACAAAGCTTAATTTTTGATTAGTAATATGCATTGCTAAGAACTTTTTTTTGCACCCTCAGATTCCAGATTTTCAAACAGTTGTATCTCAGCCAAATATTGTCCTATTTAATTAACTCAGATTAATTGAGCAAACAGTTAAATAATTATGAATGAGACTGAAATTAGGCCTATGTTTTATTATAGGTTTGGAGGTTTCTTCGCCAGCAGAGGACAGCAGCAGCTCTGCTACCACTCACAGCGCTGCGGTGAAGAAGTCTGCACATACACAAGGACAGCACGGTTAGGTAATGAATGTAATGTGGAAACCTTTTATAATATGTCATTTCGGATCGGCTCACCTCTCTCATGAGCTTTGGTTGTAGTCTTTTAGCACTCGTTCTGGGCCGTTGCGGTGTTCAAACGGGACGCGCTTGTCATATCTAGAGTTTACTTTCAGATAACGATTGGAGTTATGGCTCCTGCAGCACATGTGTCAGCTGTACGGTCTCTGTATAAGAGGATCCTGATGCTGCACCGCTTCATGCCCATAGACCTGCGGGCTCTGGGTGATCAGTATGTGAAAGACGAGTTCAGAAGACACAAGACTGCATCAGCTGAAGAGGCCACACGCTTCATGGCGGAATGGCAGGTAAGACAAGCCTGCTGCTAGCTGTCAGTGTCACTGGACTGCAGAGAAACTAATAAACTAATGCCACATCGGGTGCATCAAGCCCTCAGGCCTTCCACTGACTAAATGGTTGATTTCAGTGGCACATGTATTGGTGTATTGGTGATAGTGTTGTAAAACACTTAAGACATAAATCTATAATTGCCTTTTGGATTGCTATTTAGTCAGTTACTTAAATACATGTAGCTGTGCCCTTGTGAAAAAGAAGTACACTTTAGCATAATTACAAAAAAAAGAGTAATTATTATGGAGATATCCTTTCAAGAATTGCAAACTTAATGTAATATTTGTGGACATTGAAAAAGCTGAAAATGTCATTTCTATTCAAACTTAATTTAAGTTGCAATTTAGTACATTTAAAATATAATAGCTTTAAATGTAATATTGAGCAACACACTATTTTAATTTGTAATCAAGTACTGTACATGTGCTTTAGTATGGTAGCCGACACATTAAAATAATTGTAATCTTGCACTCTTGTAAAATAATTGTACACTTTAGCAATTCTATTCTAGCAAAATAATATTGAAACAATGGTTTTTAAATGTAAAGGGAAAATTAATTTGACATTTGTTTCGAAGTAGACTTGAAGTGTATTTAAGTGTGTCAAGAAACAGTTTATGTTTTATATATTAATTATTATTATTAATATCTGTAAAATATATTTCATATTTTTATTGATTTAATATATACTTTTAAGATTTGAAGTACACTAGAAGTGCATATTCAATACAAATAGTAGGTATGCACAAACAAAAACACATTGCTGATAATGGAAAAAAGGACAGAATTAAAAAAAA